AAACTGGAGATAAGGGAAACAAAGCTTTGTGAAGAATTGTCCCTGATCTATAGAGATGTGAGAGCGTGCTATAAAATTGCAGAGGGAGCACAGTGTTTGAACTTAATCATTCCGACAGCCAGGTTTGATTTCCCCTCTGTCTCCTCCTCTGCCTTCAGCGGACGGTCTGGCTTACTCGGCTCTGCTGAAGAACGAGCTGCTAGGAGCGGGCATCGAGAAAGTCCAGGACCCCCAGTCAGAAGACCGCCGTCTGCAGCCATCTACACCTGCCAAGAGAAGCCTTTTTAGTGTAAACATAGTTATAATCGCTCTAACCTATAATTCTGTTAAAGTTTTTCCTGCATCAGTATCATCCGTCTGTTTTTTTTAGTATTCTGTAAGTGCTAAGAGGACTCTGCCAGAAGAGGATGGAAACACAGTCTCTCCATATTCTCTATCACCTGTCAGTAGCAACAGGTAATGTCACTTTTCCATGTCCTTCCACAAGTGTAATTTTCCAAAATCTTCGAATGTAGCCTCATATAACTTACGTAATTGTGTTTGCAGCCAGAAACTGCTGCGTTCGCCAAGGAAGCCTACGCGAAAAATATCAAAAATTCCTTTCAAAGTCCTGGATGCTCCAGAGCTTCAGGACGACTTCTACCTCAACCTAGTGGACTGGTCCTCTCTGAATGTGCTCAGTGTTGGGCTGGGAACCTGTGTGTACCTGTGGAGTGCCTGCACCAGCCAGGTGTGTGTGATCTGATTACTCGATGCTTTGAGCAAAGCAATGGCGAATATCATGGAAATGTCTTTACTCTTTTTCTGTGTAGCTACTGGTTTCCTGGTCCGGGAGTTTATCCTCCAGGGTTTTGCTTTTTGACTCTAGCGTGTGTACCTTAGCTTGCAATCTAGCTACGTCGTCCTCGGCGTTTGCTAGCCGTAACTGCCTGCGAGACTCACTCAGCACAGCCCCTTATCTCCTTCCTCATTGCATAATTGCATCAAATCTTGAAGAAAACTGTTTTCATGGAGCTCAAAGCAAAGCAGACAGTATTGCCCCCCTCATACACACTAGCTATCTGTATTCCACCTTGCATGCGGTAGTCTGTCAGTCTCGGTTGCTTAGACACTTTGCTCTTCTCTTTGCTCAATTGACCGGTTTTCGTCATCCCAACATCCACATACGCTACCGTTTTATGTTGCACATTATTTGTAACTTGTTGTTTATCGCAGGTTTACTTAGTCTTACGATGTACCCGAACTGCCTCTTGGCATAATGTTAATCTATATTTCTTTCCTCCCTGTCTTTTTAGGTGACACGTCTATGTGACCTTTCTGTGGAAGGAGATTCTGTAACATCAGTGGGCTGGTCGGAAAGGGTGAGTTTCTCCATCATCTACATAAACAAAACCTACATCTGTAATAATTAGGGATGCACCGAAAATTATCGGCCGAAAATGGTTAAAAAGGCCCTTTCGGCTTTCGGCCGAAAGGGTTCTAGCACCGAAATGTCAGAGAACAGGGTTACGTTGGTAACCTAACGTGTTGTTGTGATGACGTAATCAAAACGCGGCGACAAGCACGGCGCGAGACCATGCTCGCGGCTGGCTCACAGCCAACATGTCTGCTGCTTGGAGATATTTAAAAATATCAGAGAAAGAGGCGCGGATTGCGATTTGTAAAACGTGTTCAGCTGATATTTCTCGAGGGGGTGTAACTGCAAAGACTTTCACCACTTCAGGATTACTCCACCACTTGAAATCAAAACACCCGGACAAATATGCGGAGTAAGATCAAATCACAAGCACTGACAGCGAGAGACTGTTCAGCGCTGCCTCTCATGTGCTTGATGAGAAGAGGAACAGACTTATGGCTGATAAAACAGAGAAACTACTGTTCATTAAAAAGAACCTCCCACTTTTCCTTTATAAGTAGACAAGGCTGGCTTATCATAAGCTTATCTAGTTCTACATGTCTACTCTATACCCACTTTCCTGAACAATTTTCATTGTGAGTTATAATTCACCATCTCAGGTTATCATTAGGGGGAAATGACAGCAGCACAGTGTTCAATATATTGTACTTTCGGTATCTAAATGATACAATGTTGTTTACATTGCTCATGAGGACAGGCCTTCAACAACAACAAATGCCACCCTATAAGTGCAATGCATACAAATGTGCAAACTGGATAAATCCACATGAATGTAACTATTTACAAATTAAATTACAATTGAATTTCAAGAATCTGTAAATAAGGCTGTCTGTCCTCATAAGCAAAGTACGGTAGTAAACATTGTATAAAGATACATAAAGTGAAAACTGGATACAAAATCCACAACCAATTACAAATTAAATTACAATTTCAAGAATCTGCAAATAAGGTGGTCTGTCCTCAGTCTTTATTTACACTATTTTGTTGTAGGCCTACTGGCCTAGATGTTTATGCAGTTTTAAAGCACCTTGGCTTTGTTCTGAATGCACTTTGTTGTAGTTATCCTACAGAGAAAAGAAAATGCACTTGCCTTTGAATGAATGTACTGTATGCATTCCAAAGTGCTGAATAAATGTTTTATGGACCCATAGTGATTATTATTTAAGTTTTGCCATAATCATGTATTTTTCCATAATCAGGCAGCTGAACAACATTGGTAAAAAATGTATACATTATATATATATACGGTATATATTTCTATGAATCATTTTCGGCATTCTGTTTTTGGCCAACTTTTTCCCATTTTCGGTATCGGTTTCAGCCAAGAATTTCCCATTCGGTGCACCCCTAGTAATAATAGTAGAAACTGCTCACCAAAACTCAATTTGAATGTTCACTGGTCAATCACAGAGTTAGGTTAGGGTTTTTAGACCTGCACTTTTTTTGCTTTGTTCCCACTGAGTCATTTTATAACTTTTGTATATTTTGCCCTTCAGTTCTTTTTTGTTGACACAGCAAAATTCAAGGGCAAAGCAAAAGCTGTACACAAATGTCATGCGCGAGTTAGCTGTTCTCTCGTTGGTCCGAAATGTTACTGGGAAGATTTGCCTCCAACTTTCTCCTCTCTTTTATTATTTCCACTTTTATCATGGAGCACAGGCAGCATGTAACGCTAGTTATTTTCATTCCAGCGAACAACATATCCAGCTTCAGTGAGCATTTGTACTGTGACTACTGAACAATGTCCTAAAGCATCTTATTAGTAGACGTGATGCCTCAGAGCTTAGCTCTGACACCACAAAACACTTGTTCTTCTGATAGAAAGGGCATCGGTTAACCTCAATTAGATCATCTTTACTGGGCAAGTTGTTTCTAATGGAAGGGTCGATTGGGTTTTGACTACTGACAAACCACTCCACAGTTTAGGTGGAAGCAAGCTGAGACTGCCATCCCACTTGAGTGCAATGGCTATGTTCACACATGTCCAGACAAATTGAATTAGAAGGTGAAACGCTTTCTTATACCCTCAGATCTAGCTGACAGAGTTCCATCATGAAAAAGGGATGTTATTAGACAGTTCAGTGAAGATGCAAATTGTCTTTTGGTGTGCCTGTTTTTTGTAAGTGTGTCTCACTCCTTTGATATATATATATATGTGTGTGTGTGTGATATTCAAAGTCTGCTCTCTATTTTTAGGGCAACCTGGTGGCGGTGGGGACTCATAAAGGCTATGTACAGATCTGGGATGCGGCAGCAGGGAAGAAGCTCTCCGTACTAGAAGGACACACAGCCAGAGTGGGTGAGTTGACAAGCTGGAGTGATGTAGGAGGAAAGTGCTGTAAAATATAACAACCTTTGTACTTCTCACACAGTTTTGGTGAATCATCTTCCCTTCAATTCATACTTTGTTTGTCAGGTGCGTTGGCATGGAATGCAGATCAGCTGTCGTCAGGGAGCCGAGACCGGGTAATCCTGCAGCGAGATATCAGAGCCCCCCCTCTCCAGTCAGAGCGCCGTCTCCAAGGACACAGACAGGAAGTGTGCGGGCTCAAGTGGAGCACAGACCACCAGCTGCTAGCCTCGGGGGGAAATGACAACAAGGTATGTAGACGGAGAACCTCACCTGTTTGTGATCCACACATCAGTATCAGGTGACTCTTTTTCATCAAACATCTAATCTCCTCGCTTCATTTTGTCCGGCTCGCTGTAGTTACTGGTGTGGAACCACTCCAGTGTCCTCCCGGTGCAGCAGTACACGGAGCACTTGGCTGCAGTGAAGGCCATCGCCTGGTCCCCCCACCAGCACGGCCTGCTGGCCTCCGGGGGGGGCACCGCCGACCGCTGCATCCGCTTCTGGAACACTCTGACCGGCCAGCCCTTACAGTGCACCGACACCGGCTCGCAGGTCTGCAACCTGGCCTGGTCCAAGCACACCAACGAGCTGGTGAGTCACCTGGCACTGTGTTAGATAGGCAGGCAGATACATACTGTAGCGCTGTACCAAATGTTATTTATTAGAATTGTATGTCTCTTGTCGAATTATCATAATGCCATGACCCCTAAACAAATACGTCATGATGCATACACGTATTTTGTAATTTGACTTATAAACATAATAAAGAAAACATGCAGATATATTATAGATGAAGCTTTGAAGATTTGGTTTAGCTAGGGTTGCATATCGTTGAGTTTTTTACGATAGCGATACCGCTGAGCGATACCGATACTCAACCGATACATATCGTGACTTTAATGTTGCATAAGGGAAAATGTTATCATCCCGCAATTAATCCCATGAAGCGCTTTATGATATAGTTAACATGTCAAAAATTTATATTAAATTCAATTGTGGGACTTGGACCTTTTAGTACTGAACAAACAATGAAAAACAGGTTATCTATGAAGAAAAAGATTCTGCAATATCATTTATAACAACCATCAGGCGTGAATAGTACATCTTGTCAATGGAAAAAGAAAATAGCACCAGTATAATCAATATTCAACCTGAGATTCGACAGAGAACACATAAAGGATCATAAGATCTCGGCATTGCACATAAAACAAATTGCATCATTCAAATCAACATTTGCCTGATGAAAGAAAACAAATCCCATCACAGTTCAGTTTTGTGCATTCATCTTCAAGAAGATGAGCATATCTGCTCTCTGGATCCAAACGGGCCCTTTCACAGTGTAGGATATCGACTGCTGAACTGAACACTCTCTCGCTTGGCACGCTGCTTCCCTGAACACAAAAGTACTTGGTTGCCATACGAGACAGCATTGGTTGGAGGTTGGATGTGTTGCCACCTTTCCCAGAAATAAACTTCTTGTAGTGGTTACAGACCCCACCATTCAGACTGGCAGTGGTTTCAGACCCCACCATTCAGACTGGCAGTGGTTACAGACCCCACCATTCAGACTGGCAGTGGTTACAGACCCCACCATTCAGACTGGCAGTCATATGCAGCCACACTTTAGATTTTCTAAAGTGACTCGTTTGCGGAGTTTCACGGCAAAATTGACATCGTAATTCCGACGGTTTGGGCGCGAGTTTAAGGATATTACGCCTCACTTTTATAAAAAAAATTTTTAAAGTATCGAAAACCAGATCTGATTTCGGTACGGTATACCGTAGCCGCCAGTAACCGGTATTTCGGTAATACCGGGAACCGGTGTGCACCCCTAAGTTTAGCCCTACACTCCTGTAACTCTGAACCAAACCAAGGTTTCTCTTGGTAAGTATTGTATTTGTGAAACCCCTTCCGAAAGGATCTGAGGTGAATATGTATTAAAGCACGTTTCTTCCCTGCAGGTCAGCACACATGGTTATTCCCAGAACCAGATCCTGGTGTGGAAGTATCCCTCTCTAACTCAAGTGGCCAAACTAACTGGACATTCCTACAGAGTACTCTACCTGGTTAGTATATTTACTGTGTGCATTTATAATATCTTTTTTGAGTACATTGTCCTATGTTCTGTCCAACTGAAGCCAAAAACAAGGGTACAATTAAATAATAAATAAATAAAAGATAGACAGGAGGGGACCAAAATATGTGTACTACCTAAAGCTATTAATACAAAGAGACATTTTCTAATGAAGTATTGTGATTCCCCTTTGTTTACAAGTGCAAATCTAGGAGAAGAATGAACAATGACCATAACATGCCTGGATGTTTTTGCTAATGTGAAAGGATTCCCACAAGAATGGAGCTAAACACAAAACAAATACCACTGATTACCATGATTTCTTATTGTTTTATGATGCTGTCTCTTCAGTGTGTAATAATAAGTTCATGTGTAGGCCATGTCTCCTGACGGGGAGGCCATAGTGACGGGAGCTGGAGATGAAACACTTCGCTTCTGGAACGTCTTTAGCAAGATGAGATCCACTAAGGTACTTCTTTAAACATCCTCCCATCTCTATTTGAGTCTTTTCCCATTGGTCTTTGTCTCACCTCCTTCCTCTATCTCCTCCCTCTTTTAGGAATCTGTGTCGGTGCTGAACCTCTTCACCAGGATCCGGTAGTATGCAAAAACGGAGAAGGGATTTTATGTTTGCATGTACGGAGCTGTAAACGGGCCCCTTCTTTGAGCATTCTCCTCGGTGGTCTACAGGCGGCCCCCCCTCGACTGCCCTTTGTTAATTATCCAGGTTGTAACTGGGAGGAGAAGATGGAGAGATGCACAGCGTCAGTGTGGAGGGCAGAGGAGACGCGTTCGTACAGTGTTCCACTTCCTCCTTAATGATAAAGCCACTTCCTCCTCCATCAGACCAGTGATCCCTGGTGACGAGGGGGACTTCGGGGGGTTTCTCTCCCATTATGTTTGTTTACAGACTGACGTTGTGCTTACCTGCCAAATATTGAGTTTGTCCTTTTAATTTGAGTTTGTCCTTTTGACTGTCTTATTTATTTTATTCTCTATTTTTATTTTAAAGTTTTAAATATTACCCTGCTAGTTTGTTTGTTTGTTTCTAGGCTGGCAGATTTCCTTTTCTTTGTGTAACTGCAGTTTTTTGTTCTGATCTTTGCAGTATGTTTGGCTTTCTTCATGTTTGCAGAAAAATCCAAGCTTGTCTTTTTTTTATTTTACTGTGGCAATAATGTTTAATGTAGACGGTAACCGATTACAAATTCCTGGAAAACTTAATGGTCAACAAGGATTGAACGACTGGGTCTGATCTTCTTTTTAAAAATCTTACACTAAGTTAATTTAGTCTAATTATACTTATTATACAGTATTGGCTTATTGTTTCTCTCGTAAGAAATCTCAAAGTGGTCTAAGGTGCAAAATTACTATTTGGTAACACTGTAAATAAGAACAGTTGCCTATACAGCTAATTCACATGACAATTTGAGGATTTTAATTTGACTTGTGTGGAAGTGTTTTACCCATATTGTTTTTTAGGGTCTTAAATGGAAAATCAGGCAAGGGAAGTTAAATGAAAACACATCGGCTCATCAGTGTAGTTTATAAAAACAAAGCACACAGCTTAACATTTGGGACTGCTGCTACTTTGCACTGTGTCTAAAATATTCAAGCTTTGGGCAATTCTCTTTTGCTACTTGAGACCATTTCTGTGTCGAGCAATTCAACGTTCTTTTGTTTTTTTATCTGAAAAAATAGATTTCATATCATTGCAACATTTTCTCCCAATTTTAAATTGTATTTTTTTCTCCGTTTGAATGTTTGAGTCAACAAGTGTGCCACATTTAAACAAATGCTATTTATTTGTGTTGTGAAAAAGGTTATTGTACAGAAATGGCATGTTTGTTTACTAATGTTACCCGGGGGAAGTTGATGGGCAGTTTAACTGCTAGGAAATTCGTTTTTATGCCACTTCAAAATCAAGACAATGCTGCCAACTTGAATTACAGAAAGAATGTTAAAAAAAAAAATATTTCTGTACTGAGAGATAATCAACAATTAAAAGATCATATCTTATATCTTAATTGTTGTTGTTGTTGTTGTTGTTTTCTCCAATACCATGAGGGAAGACTAACTCCTTAGTCTTAGTTAGGGCAGTCTTCTGAAGCTAAAGAAGCGGTTCCATTGTTATCACGCTTTCTAGCCCAGGCGTGTTCCAGATCAATGAATTGATTCTACCAACAAGTGTTAGGTGTGCAGCAAGGCCCGGATAATGCTTATTTTAGCCAAAGAGCTCCAAAGCACATGAATGAGCTAAACTGGGTGACTTCATTACCATGCATGCTAGTTATTTGAATTATTTTCTGTTAATTGCAACAACTCAATTAAACTCACTAGAACTGATGGTCTTTATGCAGCTAAATGTAGTCCTTAACATATTCACTGTTTATTACTAGTAAAATATTTATCAACAACTTCAGTGCCTAGCCTTTTCATAAAGAAAAATAAATAAATTTGTGACATGTTTTTTAATCTACATCTTTATTAGAACAAATGGACTCTGGGCTGAATGCCACACAGAGAAATCACAGGCAGTACTCGCAGACTAAAGTCAATAAAAATGCTTAAAATGGTGTTGGCATTTTTTGGCATTGTTGACAAACAGAAAAAGGATTATTTGAATGATGCCACATTTCAGCATTAAAAAAAGCTTTCTTCTATGAGGCGATGAGATCTGGAGATTTCAAAAGCCATACCGCAGTTCACCATTACCAGATTGCGCAGATTAATCTGCTTTAAATTATTGCGGTTTTCCTTCATTGTGTCTCCTTTAAGATTGCTTCTCAGGTATTTACATTGTCCAAGTGAACACCAGAGGGAGCCATCCTTGGAGCAGACACTGCTCTGCTGCTACCACACCCAAACAACCAACCTAAACCACCTTGAAGGTGAGGATCAGGTCTAAAATCCTGACAGTAATGTTGACTCTTTTTAACAAGCTATGAGGAATGTATCCGGTTTCATTTTAGACTAAATTATACACACATATGTAACAAGTTTTTAGAACGAGTGCTTTAAAATTAAAAAAACACCCTGTGGCCTAGTTCCCTAAAAGTCTGCATTTTGTTTTGTCATATCCAGCCCACACACATGGTTTTCACCCAGAGCATGAAAACGAATGAATGTTCACTGCCTCCCAAAGCTCCTACACCTCTGCTTGTGCCCGGGGTCCATCCAAACCCACTTTACACACATTTAGGCAGCAGAAGGATTTATTTCAGTGGAAAAAACAGCTGATAGGGTGTAAGAGACGGGGGATCTTAAATGATTCGGCTCCTGTGGTTTTGCTATAATTTAAATTTTTGATAGAAATCAGAAAATATTACTGAACACTGGCTAACTACTAACAAGCTGGACTGAAAACACAACTGGTAATTCAGTGACTTCAAAGAAGGAAGGGGTTTTTTGTAAAATATTTTTGTATGAAAATCAGGTGCTGCAGGTGACTCAGCTTCTTTCGTCAACATCAGAGAGCCGGAGCCTTTGTCCCCGTAGACTCCATTATAATGTTGTCTAAATAACGTGCATAGTCCATTATAGTGATCAGATAAATCCTCTGAATGGAAGACATTCAACACAGTCTTCCAGCTCATCTATGGCTCTCGGTGGGCAGATGTTAACATTAAGCCCTGAAAGCAGAGGGGAGGACAGAGAGGGGGATTGCTAATATGCATAATCCTACCTCCTGATGTTTCCATCAAGAGGCACAGAGTGCGATGTTCATTATACAACTAAAGCCCGACAACACAGAGAGCAGATCTTCCCCCAGGTTCCTCCCTAAGCCAGACTCTTGAGTTGTATTGATAACCGGCCTACAGAGGTATCAAAGGAACAAGGGCTTTTGTGAGAACTAATGGCTGCAGCCACCCAGGCTTCTTTTTGGTAATTTTGTCAGAACACAGAGAGGGTCACGTGCCTTATTCACAAACACACTAGTCTCTCACTAAAGCAGCAGCTTTGCATTCATAAACTGGGGGATCGATAGGATGTTCTTCCACAGCCTGTCGAGCTGTCAAAAAGCAGGTGTCAGAGAAGATGCTTCGATGTAAATAGGTGGGAAAGAGCACAACAGAACAACATGAAGGTTCAGTTGAGCCTGATTGTCTTGAGGCTTTTGAAGATGTTGGTAAAATGTCACACAGGTCCATAAAGGCAGCAGGAAACATCCCTGTCAAGGTGTCCTTGTTATTTCAAATGAAATTGAAAATGATAGTTAGACCGTCCTCAAATTGAGCCCTGCTGTGATGACTGGTTTATACAAAATAAGTGGTTTCCAGTTTTAGCAAATAAAATGCTCTGAAAATATGAAGGGTTTCTTCCTTTTCTCTGCATTTCACTTTAAATTGAATATCGACAACACAATTTCAAAATATCCAGTGGTTTTGGTTACTTGTGAAGATAATTTAAAAATAATTTAGGATAATCTTTAGACAAAGTTAAATAAAAAACAGTTGTTAGATGGAACCGTAAAATTCAGACTAAAATGTTAACATGAGTCTCACATGCAATTATGATCAGGATGTGTTGTATTTTATTCAACTCATTCTGTATCCATTGTGACAGTTTTTTTATTTTCTTGTAACAGTGATATTGTTAGGAATACCATTACCAAACATGTTCAAAATTCATTTTTTATACCGAAGCACAAAAGGACCACAAACACGTCTGCTGACTCACAATGCTGCTAAGCTTCACACTCATTGCTGTCCTGGAAACAAATCCCATCATATGATACTAATGATACTAAAACCAAACTCTTACATTTATAACAGTTGTACATTTCTTGCAATCCCTTTCTTGGATCATACCAGCCTACAATTAACTGCCAAGAAGGTCACCGAAGTAAGCAGCAGTGTGATTGGACTATTCAGTCATTTAAAGACAATTCACGACAGGAACTGCTTATAATAATAATCATGCCCCAACACTCTCTGTTCTGACCTCTTTGAGAGACACAGTCATTTGGTCTACAACTGACAGATCAGTTTGTGATAGCTGACCCCTTTCCCATTTTCACCATTCAGCTACAAAAGAAAAAAGGTGATACAAGACTTTTCAGGAGTCCTCTTATCTGCGAAACAATTCATATTGCCCCCTTTCTGAAATGTGGACGAGTACCAGAACCAGGACAAATATGTTGTTATTGTCAATTAGACATTTTCCATAATTTGTTAGCATTATTTAGGTTGAAAAAAATAGAATAGAATTTAAAAAAAATGACATTTAGGAGTACTAATGGTAGTAAGCGTATTAACCTGTGTTACAATTATACGTCGGTCCTCGATATTATGGTTTCATGTCTACGAAATGTTTGAAAACCCCATTATAGCTTGTGCGGGATCACGTTCCCATGGGAATTGCCTGTGTTGTCTATTTATATTATAACTATTTTACGCATAATGGTTTTCTTATTGACTTTTGTCATTTTAAGTTTTTACCATTATTAGTGTGAGGACTGTGTATGCTCGTTGTGTTTTATGTGAGCTAAAATCAAACAACCAGTGAAATATATCAACAAAACAGGACTTGCAGCTTGACTGAACACACTAGAAACATGTACAACTGTGTGTAAATGTATATCCGTGCAGGAGGATAAACGAAATTGTATTCAGCCCAGTAGTTTCTTCCAAAGCAATTAATTTGACCATTTACAATTTCCACAGCCCTTATGGTATGTAACATTCTCCTCTTGTTGTTTCCCTCACCAATTAATTTGATGCATAATCTTGATCTGCACAGTTCAGGTTTAATTCAATTACACCTGAGCTCCTCACCACAGGTTATTGGTGTTATGCACTTTGGGACAAATCAATTCAGTTTTATTCCAGGTTTTCTTTTGGGAGTCTGTGTGTTCAATTACGAATGTGTGTAAATTAAATTACGTGCATTGATTTAACCCAACAGCTATCAACCCTAGAAACCCAGGTGTCCCACCGACATGTATCCTAACACCCAACATGTTTAAATTCATAGGCACCTTTCACCTTCATAAATGTAATTTGGCTGCTGGTTTTTGGCCGCACCCTTAACAAGGTTTTGAGGGGAAGAAGACAAAAATGAATCCACTTCAATTGGCCTCCCCTCGCAGTCGTCACTCCAACTCGTCCCGCCTCCTCCTTGTCTTCTCCGGGCAGCAGACGTATATAAAACACGCTGATCTATCTTCCTCCAGCCTCCCCGGTAACATCATGATGAGCATTACGTGGAGCTCCGGGGGG